TTCTCCAAGACTTACCAGGTCTGTAACCGCTGTGCGACCGTCACGTTTACAAAGACGTGTTTGCAAGTGTTCACTCTTCGACTGCTAGTCGACGCTCCAGCTTTGTATGCGTTAAGCACACTTGCACACACGTCCTTTCTGCAACGTTTTACGGTTTCTATTTGCTCAAACAGTTGCTATTCGCCAGGATGATTTCGGCGGAACTGTCTTGTAGACGACACAGCTGACCGGCCGTTAGCTGCACAAACCGCACTTGATCTGGGGGGGGAGGGAAGGGGCAAAAGTGACACTACTCGACAGTTTTTGCTTTGGACGGTGTGGAAATATTTCCTGAAAGCTAGGGCGGCGGGATGCAAACTTTCACAATCTCAAACGACAACTCCAGCAACTAGTACAAGCTTACCGTGAAAGTATTTTCGTTCAATGTAGTTTTTTTTCTTCTGAAACCAACTTATCCCGGTATACCTTGCTGTAGGCAAGCAACTCATAGCTAGGAAGATGGAAGGGCACGTACAAATCCGCACCCATGTGATTTCTTGAAGTCCGTTGGAACGACCGATGGAAGTTTACCTCATATAATAATAACAATATTAGCGCTCCGAGGTGAAGACCTAATATTTGGACACCGGTCTGGCGGCGGCTGAGTCACTGATGGTTTGGCAGACTGAAATACTGTATCTTTTTCTTGTTAATTTATTCTATTTTAAAAAAAAAACGTAACGAAAATTAGGTAGGTTTTTCTTATACGGCCGTATCGTTCCACGCATTTTTTCTAGACTACATGGAGATTGCGCGGTACTGAACGAAGCTCGAGGGAACCACTCTCCACCTTCTCGTATCTGCTATACCTTAACCTTTCAGATACTATTTACATAATCAGTTGAAATAGTAATTTTGCTAACGATGAAAGATTATTACTATTATTTTCCCTATAATAATAGGCTTTTAGAATTTTGCGTTATAGTTGTTTATCATAATGATACTGATAAGCCTGAATTTACGACGCAATTCGTTATTTACATAACGACTCAACGAGCCTGCAATTGCAGACACAATTAGGTCTTTTAATTTATATCCAACGTAATTATTGCAGTCAAGCTAACAAGCTACCCCATCAGCTAGGAAACACCTTGTCTATTATAACTAAAGTCATTTACCTCAATGTAATTATGTCTGACTTCAGGTCAACGTTGACGCAGCTGAACGCTGTATAAAACGAAGTGTCAATGCAGCATCAACTGAACCGTTCCTAGGGGTCTTATAGCGGCCAAAAACACCTGTTCTGACCGGCGTGGGAACATATATGTCCCTCGTCGATACCCTTTCCTTATGTCATGATCATTGGATGACTACATAAGAAGTACACTGTGATAAGGTGTAAACATTTGCATAAATTTACCAATGCTGGTACTGTAGCTTCGTTGTTACTCGTCGTACGTTTCTAGTAACATTTCCATATCACCTCCAACTTAACGCCCATTGAGTAATGCGTGCTTGTGGGTGGAACAGAATGGTGGCGTTTACACGTATTCTTCAAACAACAGTCACAACCGAAACGCCGACCAGCAAAGGTTGTATCATTCAACCACTGTACTACCGATAGCGATGCTGCTGCAGTTGTTTAATGGCTCGGCGCCGGCTTTTAACAGATCGCTTTCAAAAACGTCCCACTATATCTAGAATAGGCTGCTGTCGCTGAAGCAGTGATTAGTGGTGTCTGCGGGCAATGGGGAAACAGGGATGAAGCTCAAAGCTGAACTAAAAGACGGGCGGAAAACGTAGCTGACGGACCGCCAGGGGCGGGAAAATCGAGAATGCGAAACTTCAGGAACAAGCAGGTAAAAACCCATGAAAACAAAGAAATAGCCTAGTGAAACGTAATCGAATACACGTTCCTCAGATCGCTTCTTATGTCCAATCTGGGTCCACACCTGATCTTTCCTGGGCTCTTTGCTGCTACCGAGACGCCAGCAGGCGTCACGGCGATCCAAATGACGAAAAGGAATAAAGGGAGAAATCGTTCGGGGTATCCGGCGATTATGAGGCCCGCAGTCAATCGCCGCCATAGTGGCCATGATATATACTTTCGACCCAGAACAGCAGACATATATAGAACGTAAAAAATTATGAGTAAATATACCGATATTCGTAAGTTCTAAAGTATCGACAGAGCTTTTAGGTCTGGTGTCACCATTAATGATCGTCTTTCTCCGCCTAGTATTGATGTTACCTTGTAAGGTATAAATACACATTTTAATGGTATGTTAAATAAATGATAATGACCTAATTTGCCTACTCAGAAATTTCTATTTGAAAAGGTTACGTTTACATTGAAAAATGGATCGGCCTCATGCGTGTCTTTCAATCTAATAGGTAGCCTCACGAAGAATTCGGCTCGAAGAATAAGGGCTGCTTCGACTTGACATTTTGCGATGCCTGAGCTAAAAACCTGAAGTACCTTAATTGCGTAGTGTCAAAGCGCATTGTGGCTCACATCAAAAGCTTGTTAGATGGCACTGAGTACTATTGCAACTCTTATCCATAATGTGGGTGGTAGGACATGAATGGCCTGGTCTGGATGTTACACATACTCACGCCGAAAGCTCGTACATCACAACGTGTCTTGTGGTATCGACCGCACTTTCTAACTAGACCACAAATTATATATATATATTATTATTAATTAGTTATTATGAATATATAAAGTCATTTTCAGATAGCTTCCTCTTGGCGACCCACGTTTGTTAGAGGTACCCTGCTACTGATTTGCTTGTCTCCAACATATATGGCGCCGTTTAATTAAGCTTCATGCGTTCGGATCGCTGCGTGATTAACATGCAGAAACTGCTGTACAGTATAGCAAATTGGTTCTCCCTCCTGGCTGGAATCGGCCGACGTTCGATAGACTTCACAGCGACGTTCGTGATTCGAGTTCCCTGGATCGACTCATCCCAGCAATGAAGCACCCGGGAGCATAGTCAACGTGCTGGGCCCAAACAGCCATCACTAACAGTACTATATAACACGTGTACAATTATGTAGCCATAGTTTCGACATTGGCTAGCAAGATCGATTAAATGCCGCCACATGAATAGAAGTGATATATCTCCTAGTATATGGAGCGAGTATTTAGGACACCGTTGAGGGGAATCTCAAGTGTCTATAGCTAGCCATTATGTATCGCTTACATTGTAACGATTCAGTTCTGCAGCCTACAGTTACCCAAGGGCTGATCGAACAACAGCGAGGGGGCCCTGTGCAGACATGCCGTCGTCTGAGGTGCCGCTGTCCGAAGAGCTGTGAGCATCACCCATGTACAAAAGAGATAGGAAATCAGGCAACATAATATTTACATCGTCAGCAATGACGAGGTACTGAACACAGCCACGGCTATACAATAGTTTATGACTATAATTCTGAATCACCCTCGCGAGAATAGCAACGAGACCAAGGTGTCAAGCTAACTCAATGGTATTCAAGGGTGACGACGTACGTCATTTTTAAGTTGTTCAACCAAGAGAAATAGTTTGAGATCTCAGGACGTTTAGAGGCAACAAAGCAAGAAATAAAAATCGTTTCTTTTTTCATCACGAAACCAATGGGCAACAATTAGTTTTATGTTTGCGTCTAAATACCGCTACGAGTATATTATACATAGGTGCGAGCGAGCATCTATAAGCTGATTCCTTCGACTGCTCTTCCCTCTCAGTCCGTCTGGTTATGCTGGAGTTACTGAATAGATCTGCAGTCGCCGTTCCTCGTTTTTCATCCTTCACATGGTCAGATTTGGGCGCAGCCATAGAAATCACCAGCATGACTATTCACCGTACATGTACGCGGTAGGAGTCTCGGAAGCAACCATCGTTACGCGAAAGTAATATGTTGAAGCTGGACGCCGCTACCGAAATCGCCTACAAAACTAATAGCAGCAGCAGCAGCAGCAACCTGATGCGATGCCTATCCCATGGGCGTCAGCTCACCCAACTGTTCCTTTCGTGCTCTGATCATTTGTCATGTGGCTGATTCGCTCTGCTCTAAGCTGAGGCTTTGGCTTCGGTGATCATACATTGAGATGGCGCCAGTGAGCCAGGGGGCAGCGCTGGTGGCGCTGGCAACAGTAGCTTCGTGGCGTCATAACTTTACGTAGCAATTTCATCGTATCCGAACGTACGTGAACGTCCAGTTTTGTCTTTCAATGATGACGCACACGAGAATTAGACATGTTCCCACCACTCAGCGAAACCTGCGGGAGCAGTAATCGACGGACGCAACTGTAAAAGATCGAGCCGGTCAAACGGGTCCATACAACTGGAGCGCGGAGGAAGTCAATGATACAGACTGATTTCACGTGACTTCTATCGCTCAACGGTATCGATATCTAGCTAGAGATTGGTTCCTTCGGCTCTACCCGCAAGAAAGCTTTGTTCATTTGTTTTTCGACTAAGTAGCGATGTTGTCTGACTTCGTATCGAAAAGTCCGTCATTGCTACCGATTGGGTAACTGCAATCAGCTGAAAAAAACAGAATGGTATAAATAGAGAATGCCATGACGACACTATTCGACCGCGATAAGACACTTGTGTTGGTGCGGAAGTGGCGCAAGAGAACTAGCCAGGTACTTCGATTTCTACCTGTCAGCTCGCTAAGGCGGAGTTTTTGTTCTTATCGTTTTACATCGCACCGATTGTTATTGGTTGTACCGAGATAAAAATAAAGCCGAATCATACAGCGTCAAATACTAACACCACACGACAACGATAGATGAATATAAAGTAATCCATCTTTTCTAGATTTTCTTAGGAAAATCTGCTATGCGTTCAATCTGCTATACGACCATAGTTGCAAACTGATTTCAGAAACCGTCAGAAAGGTAAGTGGAACTTGAGCTGCGCATACTAATGAACAGTAGAAGTTCTGCTGTTTAATGATGGCGTGATCAGTCATTAGGGGATTCGCGATATCTTCTTATTTTCTTCTGTCCTGTATTTGTTATTACTCACAGGGATTGTAGCGACTTGACGATAAGGAAAGAGTCGGTCGAGATTCGGGTAAGTTTATTGCGTAGTAATTCCCTGAAAACGCAAAAGATTCGAAAACATGAATATTATCAATCACTAGCGAGCAAAATAACCCATTCTGCTTTGATATTGAAAACTATCTATTAAGTTAAAGGCTTTTTTTGACAAATATAAGTAGGGCAAAAAATATTTCGTGACTAAAACTATCAGACCTGTTTTCTTTACAGCGTTTCCGACCTTGTCTGGTCCACCTTAACGATTTCATCATAATCAAGCGAGTTCAAGTGCCATCTAGTCTATCAGCAACGTGGATACAATGTTTCACTAGCCTTTTTTTATTTACAGTTTAGTATATCAGCCTAACTCAATCATCAAACAAACGCCCCCTTTTACCAGCCAGGTAAGAGCCAGATATATCTCGAAAATTTCATTTTAGAGAGGTAACTGTTGGCTTACGTGGTTATAAACGCGCATCCGACCCTAATCCCATATGCAGACAGTTATAAAAAGAAGGTATCCATCCTGAAGTCTACTAACGTATGAGACTAGTGCCTTTGTGGGGACGAAGGCAAATGGCCGTCAGCCAAAAGTCGCCACATTTCGAGTCTTTGCAGAGCAACACAGAAGACAAGTACTTAGTGGCTGCTAGATATATTATGGCAAAAGCATGGCCTCGATAGGCTTTGAAACACCTTTAGCAAGGTCGAACGCAGTAAAATTTGGGTAGCTTGCTTCGGCTACCGACCCCGCGTAGGGATTTCAGCTACGGAGCAGTTATAATTGATCGACACCACCCTTTTCGAACGGTTGTAGTTCCCCGATCGGACCAGATGATGCTCAGCGTACTGACAGTCAATCGATTAAGTGGCCTGCATCGCATACTCGGCCCAACAGTGCTAAATGACAAGCTTCCCCCAAAACGGATGAAGCTGAGGGTGAAAGGAGCAAAACAGCAGCTGTTCGGTTAACCTTGCCGAAGCTCCGGACGACTTCGAAAAGCGTTAGTATCCATGGCTGGCACATAAAACGTATCCCTTAAGCGTAGTTGCACCGGACGGTTTTGTCAGGGCGGTAGGCGGTAGACGAATTGCTACCAACAGCATCTAGGCGCCAGCAATAGCTGGGTATCCAGGCAACTCAATGGACAATGGTAACGCACAAAGACGAAGGGAAATTCATGGAGAGGCTGCTCCTATGGCACATTAATCATACACAGACACGATAACGGAGAGCTTGTTCGTCAGTAACAAATCTTGATTTTGCTTTCTATACCGTGGCGATAGTCTGCTCAGGCTGTTTTCTGGTAACGCCACTTCAAGAAGCTTTTTTCAAAGCGCGCACGTATTAAATCGTTTTGTCTTCTAGTAACGTCTGGTAGGGATCTCATTTGTTATATGCAACAGTATCTGATGAGCGCTCGTTACCAAATACACAAGCTAAATTTAGATGTCAGCCTATATATATATATATATATATATATATATATATATGTTACAAAAGAACGCTGTCGTTATCGTAAGGACATCACAATACGATATAAACGGGTATTTACGTCTGCATCTTTCCAAATTGCTTGTACACTATCGCTGGCACGCGTCTTACGGTAAGCGTTGGATTCTGCGCGTTTCTCTTTGTCGCCTATTTTAGCACAGGAAAAGTTATCCTACGGAAAACAAACTGAGTACAGATATCGCATATTCGAGCAAACGTGCAGCGATGCTGATCGATACATACAACACTTGCGGAAACGAAAGCGACAGAAGGAATAGAATGCATGAAGCATTATAACAATACACGGTCCGCGACGGCCCATATGCGCCTTCCAATACGTTAGCGCGCACGTTAATCGTCTATCATCAGGGGACAATGGAGGGGAGCGGCAGAGGAGAGCATAGGCACGGGAAAACACGAGCAGCTTGTAGTGTCGCTCTCGGCCACCCATTTCAGGTCATTCATCACTCACCGAGTAATGTATCGTGAAGGAGCGCCCCTCGATTACGTGTCAAGCTCTTGTTCAATGCGTTCAGGTTCAACTGCTCATTTTGCAACCGAGCGTCTGCTTCGCGTCTGGGTCTTGTAGACGTCAAAGGAACTTAGACGGCGCAATGCAATGATAACGAACAGTCGTTAAATACTTTTTTTTTTATATAATTATTTAACGATTTAATATTTCAACAATGACATTATGAAGGTTAAGAAGGAAAATCTGTATGATTATGAATGAATAATTACTCATCTCATCAATAACAATACCGTTTAATGAAAAATCTATCACATGTGCATGAAATGTTGTAAATGGTGCAATAATGAGAAAAAATCAACGTTTGGATAAACTACCTATAATTTTATCCACGTTTAAATAAAACGGTAGTAAAGAGATCCATCCCAATGCTAGAAGGACAAAAAAAAAAATTTCTCTGGACATAAGGCTGTTTTAATTCGTAGTTCCAGTGAAGTGTTACTACAAATAAATGTCAGTCATGAGTTTTTTTTTTGTTTTTATTATTTCGCTAGTTACACCTCTACTCATATTTTGTCTCGTACGAGCCTGCAGAAGCTCACATAAGGTCGTTAATAGCAAGCACCCCTATATAGCTGTTAAAGTGTCGAGGATCAGTGGCAGAAAAGGCGTATCAGGGCCCTTGAAGAACCGCACCATAATGCATAAAACACACGACCAGTGTCATGACATGAGTGCACAAGCTCTAATGCAGACGTCTCTCAACCCCCAAGGTTAATCTAATAGTTGGAAGGAGGCATCCTGTGAATATGCCGCAGTGAGATTCATGCTAGCTTCTTTTTCTTCGAATAAGGGAAGCATTCCTATAGAAATCAAGTGATATAGAATTATGCGCATCTACATCCGATTTGGCGAAGCTGGCAAACGAAAAACAACATATAGAACAAGTCACATAAATCGATTTTATGCCTGTCACCGGTCGTCAAAAAGGTTTGTTGTTGCATATACTTTGTGTAGTAATGGTGAGGTATGCGTGGGCAGTCCCACGTCTTCGATTTCGCTTCACGTACGCTGTGCTGCCGTTACATCATTTCAGATCACACAAGAGGTAAACAGGAGGCGTTTATGGCAGTAAGAGACCGGCAGAAAAGCCCCGAGCAAAAAGGGTACGTCAGAGTCCTGCCTATAATACCAAGCCAGAAATCCTACGCGAATAAAAGCAGTGCTGTTCAAAAAAACGACCTGAGAGTGAGTGAGTGAGTCAGCCAGCCAGCCAGCCAGCCAGCCAGATAACGAGAAGCACCGAAGTGTCGAAGGCTTACATCGAAGATTTAGCACCTTTGCCTCGAGTTCTTGTTCTGCGTCGTCGTTCTCTTCTGGACAGTCGTTTCGATTTTATGAGCCGATGTCTTTCTGTGATTTCGCCCTGTCACTTCACATTTCGCTGCAATGCAGAAGTTTGCTTTGTGAAATCCCCCTCCGGCATCTTTTCGGGCTATCCTGCTAATTCGTGGAGTTGCTCTGGTGAGGAAAGCTGCTTTAGATATTCCTGTCTGATTCGAATTTAGCCTTACAGGTGGAGTTTCTATAGATCGAACGGGAAGCGTACTTCGCTCCGCACTTTAACGTTGGCGGCTAACAAGGCAACCTTTGCATACGCGTCGCCACTGGATGCCGGTCGGTACTAGGTAGGGGGTAACCGAGTCTGGGAGCTGAGGGGTGTTGTAAAGGTTTTACAACGTACCGCAGTCTACCTGCAGCAACAGCAGCAGTGCGGCCTTGACGATGATGCCGACCACAGCAGCGAACGGTATTGTCTGTTGTAATACCATGCGCGATGCCACCTATCGAGGACTACGGACCGAACGACCAGTAGAACTGTTCTTGCCTTTAGCCATGCTGCGGAGTGTCGCACCATATGACGCTATTCTGAAGCTTGAACAACCCCAGTACACCTCTACACGTCAGATTCGAGACGCAAAAAGAAGCCAATATCCGCCAATACGTTAGATTGTCTCATAACAACATAGTGCAGGAAGGAAAAATAGGAAACATAACAACAGCAGAGGCAACAATAGGACGGCGAAACGCCTATAGAGTTCGATGTGAAGGCACAAAATCGCCTGAATGAAGCGCTTGTACCCGTCTGTACACTCTGTGTGGGTTGTTGCTGCCATAATGGTAGTGACTATTCGGCACTGGATAAATGATTGCAAATGTGTTTTTAAAAAATCTACCTTTCTCTACCAAGAACAAAATAAAAATACGGTTTGACTCGCCCCTTGCAAGCTATTTTATTGATAAGTCCCACAAAATGGTATATCTATTAGAGTTTACGAGCAGATTGTTATGACATTAATTTCTTTTTTATAATCACGTCGAAACAACCGCATGCGTTTTTTAAAATTTTCTCCTGTCAGAATAGATGAAAAAACGTCGGCCGTAATATTGGCGAAAATACTCACATAAGCATTATCGATAGTAATGTCCTTCATTTAAATATAGCTACTCTTACCATATATATAGCTAGATTGGAGAGGCAACACCCTTTAGCCCCAATCCGAAAGGTAACAACGACATACAGAAATAAACTTTACGGTTAAGCGGCCTTGTTTGCGTTCGACAACGGCCGCACGTTCGTTCACGCGGTAGACCTGCCACTAATACCTGAATCATGCGGACAGCATCGCCCGAGTCGACGTAACTGGGCCGTTCGGGAGAACCTAATTTCTAATCTCCGTGGCGACCATAGACCCCGTAGTTTTCACCTGGTATCTTTAGAATGGCCCTCAAGGGCCGCTTCTAGCGATCCATAAAGACTTATATCAATCTATTGAAATGGCGTATTGGCGCAGGTACACTGCATTCGTGTGAACACCACCCGTGCGTTACTATTGTATTCGATTAAACCCCTTTCGGATAAATGGCGCCGCCGCATTTTGGAGCCCAACTGACTTGGTTTTCTTTATGCATCTTATTCATAGTGCCTTTTTTCTGCCATAATCTATGCCAAAATAGGCTTTCTCAGAGGATGATGATGATCAGATGATGATTGTGCATCAACGGAAACACAAAGGCTTCAAAGCATGAACTT